TAGTCAGCAATGTGTGACATGCACATACCTAGGCACCATTGTATTTGAGTTGCCCCAAGTCCCCCACAATGTGAGGGACCAGCTGATTATTAGTGTGGCGGCAAGCGCTTGTATGTGACATGTCGCGTACATGAGAAACGCCAGATGCATGACCCCACCCAGTAGCTATAGCATGCATGGTTGCGTCATTACTTTTGTGTTTATTTGCATCAGGGGCTGGCCATTCAATCATGTACATTGCAGCCCACTTACTACAAAAGAACCTGCGTCGCCATGCCAAAATTCGCGATTCCTACTAGTCACGTGTTGATATATATGAGCGAAGCCCTAACAAATTGTTTTAACTAATGCTCGAGTTAGTTTTGTGGACATCTAGTCCCGCATAACAGCTCTTGAGGAAAGAGTAACGGTATAATATCCCATGGGAATATTAGAATACAAGATTAGGGTCTAAAACCCTACTAATCTGATAACATGCGTGGATTGTTGTTCTTCATGCAAACAAGCCTCACTCCGCGCTACACAGACGGTATCCTACAACACACGCTGCGCCCGACCGCTTAAACCACTTCTCCTGATTTGCGACCGGGAGATATTGGGTGTCAGTAAGTCCTATCTTCTCACTCAGAGCTTTCTTTCGAGTTTCAAACAAAGCCAAAACCTTTACGAAGAATCTACGGCTGGTTAGCTGACGTGTGCTTGACGATGCGCGCCTGGGTGACGATACATTTAGCAAGATTCTCTGGAACTGTCTCAACAAAAGTCTCAAGATAAGTTCTCCTTGAATACTGCGAAGGTCACCCACTCCTGGAGGAGCCCAATCGACCTGAGATTGCTCGTTAGCCAGATGCTGCCTTTCCTCGATGATGGCATTGTTTTCGACGAGACAATTTCATTTCCTTGGGACGCATTGGAGTCAACGTAGCGGAATAACAGGATTCTGGTCAATTGCCGGTCAACGCGGAATATATCGAAAGGTATTCGTGAGCTGCCGCCTAGGTACTCAAGAAACTCAAATTAGGAGTTCGTAGTCGACTGGGTGTGATATTGTGGCAAGACACCCCTTCACTAGGATAGCCTGATTCCATGGAATCCTATCTGCGTGCTGGGTGGGATTGCTTTGTTGTTCTGTCGACCACCAATGTCATACGGGCTATACTGCAGAGCAGGGTGTCTCACCTGCATCTTCTGACAGCCAGAAATTGATTCTAGTTGAAATCAGCTTTGATCCTTGTGAACAACAGGTATGCTGGTGGAGTGCGTATCCCATTTATATTGAGGAGAAGAACACTCTGCTCCCGCTCCAAAAACAAGCGCCACGGCCAGAGCTAATAGGGAAGCCAAGGCCAAGATATTTGGATATTTGAGATTGACAGGGTGTCTTCTCAACGACAGACCTATATCCTAGCATTTATGTTGTGATTTGGGAGACTCTGAAGGAGAAGAGCCTGAAGACCCAGAGTCGGATGTGAGACGGCACTGGAGTGTAAAGAAATGCCATGTTGAAGGCTGGGTTTGGGTTATCGAGTAGCGGATTTATGGTTACTAGCAAGGCAAAAATGAGTGAGTTGGAAACAAAATTATACAGCAAGCTCAAGAAGAAAATACAAAACCAGTCTTGATCATTCCTGTAGCTCGGGGAAGGAGGGGGCCAAAATGTTGATCTAATAAGCAAAATTACACTGTAGCGCTTGAGTAGGAAATGGTCATTGCTCAGTTACATCGGTTTTTTGTATTACCTCTCGTTATCGATTAATATATTTTTCATCGTGTACCGTTTTATATAACCGTCCATCTATTAGACCACATGCGTTAGACCCATATATAAAGCAAGGGGATCGTTCGGGGTTGCGAGAGGCAGAACTCCACAGCTGATATGGGATCATTCCGACACGTAAATTATCCAAGAAGATTCTCTGCTAATACTAGGAGTTTCTAGAAGACCGGTGAGGCGAACTATACCAAAAAACATACCAAAAAATCAAACTAGCCGAGGCCCCACCAGTTGTCAACAAAAAGCCCAGAGCAAAAACTAGGGCGTTTTGTTATTTTTTTTTTCATAATCGACCAGGCTGGACTTTAGCTCAGATGCCTTTGGAGAAAACTCTTTTTGTTTGACTGAAGGTCGAGCCAAAATGATATCAAGGTGGTCGGGCAAATGGCTGGGAGACGCGACAAGGTGACCGGTGATCAATTTCGTGCCATCAAGTGGGGGGTTAGGGGGCTTGCATTTTCTGCTGGGAATTGTATGAATTGTATACCCTAGTACCCTCGTACTTCGTACTAGAGTATTAGCTATGTACGAGCTTGGAGAAGCTGTCTAAACTTTACCATTGGGTCCCGATGTTTGAATAGACCGACAATTTAGGAGAGAAAATAAATTGTCCTCATATTTTTGAAATCATCCCAGGGGCTACATGCGAAATAAGGTCAATTTTGAAGTCATGAATACCATTCCTGACACATCCTTAAACCTGGTTTACTGTCTCGCGTGGGGTCACGTGTTTTGAGACGCGGACGCGCCGCAGTGTATAAGAGTTGAATAGCACGAATTTAAGAGGAAACAAACCTTTAATTCGCGCCTTTTCACGTTTTCGTCTCTTAATTTACAAGTCACTATTTTTACCATACCTAAAGGAAGCAATTGAAATCGCGAACCTGCAGTGAAGTGTGGTTGGCGCCTATCGAACGCGTCTCGGACTGTAAGCGTGCATTTCCGCGCAGGACGAGACCCTCCGCCCCAGTGCATTCCACCACCACACACCCTTTCAACCTTTTTCTTCAATGCTTCTCCTCCTTACTCCTTGACCAATTTCTTACCTCCCACCACGTCCTTTTCTCTAGGGAAGGCCTTGAAGTCTTTCTCTTCTTTAAAATTCTCTAGGTTCCTCTCTGTGTCCGTATAACACGCGGAGACGCGGGTCCTCGACCTCGACTCAGGTTTTTCTTTTCGTGAGTAGGAGTGCTCGTTCGACTTCGTCCCACCTTGTTACTATGGAGTCCTCTCCGTTGAAGAGCCGAGTTGGCTCGATCTTGGGCGTCAAACGTCCTGCAACCCTACTACCTGCCTTTGAGCCGAGCTCGTCGCCCTCCCTTCCTCGGCCTCAAAAGCGTGTAGCACGCGAACCAGATGTCTCGACGTATCCCACTCCGGTCCCGACCTCCTCGACCCATATCATGTCCTCCTCGCCTCCTCCTCCTGGCGTCGCTGCCTCCCGACCCTCCCTCCCACGGTCCTTCTCTGCTGCCCTCGAACGTGCGCCCTTGTCTGCAGTGCCGGCCATAATGTTGTTGGAGAGTGGGGAGCCCATTCTGATGGGCAGATCCAGTGTCTCGTGCCATCACCAGCTCGCTGCTAGTCGTATGATCTCTCGTGTTCATGTCAAGGCTACATATAAGCCGGCTCCGAACCCATTCGATCGGGATAGGGTTGAAATCGTGTGCATGGGATGGAATGGGATAAAGATTCACTGCCAAGGGAGGAAATATGACCTGGCCAAAGGCAAGACCTTTACCTCGGACATTAAAGATGCAGATATCATGATCGACGTACATGAGGCTCGTGTTCTGGTCCAATGGCCTCGCAGCGAACGAAGGGACTGTCCGTCTACCGACTCAGAACAGACTAGCGATGAAGCAACTCCAACTCAGCGACGCCAATCCCGACGAGAGCTACAGGAAAGTCCGCTCCTGGATCGCCAGCGTCTGGCATCGCCTGTATCCCCTTCGCCTGCCGTTCAGCATGCCATCCCCCCATCCTCGCCAATTTTCACTCCTTCTCGGTCCCGTGCTGCAGTAGTGGTATTTGAGGATGAGCCCTCTCCATTGAAGCGTCACAACACTGTCACTGGGGTGATGTCCCAGAGTGCTCGTCGTGCTACTGCTATGCTTCACACTTCGCGGACAAGCGAGTCAAGTGACCTGAGTAGATCCGAAGAGTTCTCCGATAATGACGAAGAGAACGATCCTATCATCCACTCCTTCGGACCATTCGGGGAGAACCTTCTGCCTCGTATGGCTTCTTTCCGGGCGGGTGATTCCCCCGTTCAGACTGCTCGTTCTCCTCGCAGCTTGCTGCCCGCCCAACCTCTTCAGCCTACTCGGTCCCCCAGACAGCCAGCCACCGTCCACGAGGACAAGGAATCTGAGACTCCTGAGGCCAAGCCCCAGTACACTGACGAACGGTCTGAGAAAGTCCGCAACCACGCTGCCAATCAACTTGCCTTCTCCCGACTGTCCTCCACGCCCTTCTCCACCATCTTGAACAACCTCCCTCCCGCGTACTGGAAGTCCGGTCACGAGTACCCCACTGGCCTCTCCAGGTCTGATATCCGCAACATTCTCGAATCAACCAAGTTTATTGGTAGAGTTGCCCGCGAAGGCAAGGATGCCGCTGGCAAGCCACTTGAGAGTGAATATTACTACATTCCCGATGAGGATGACGATGTTATGCGGCGGTCCGCTGTGGTGGATGATCTTCGGAAGCCTGGCCTGCGCAACTGTCGGAAGCAGCACAAGGTTAGTAGTATCTCCATGTCCCCTATACATACATCAATGTCCCCGAACTGTCACTAACTTATTTCCAGCAATACTTCTGGCGCAAGCCCAAATGAATCATTGACCGAAAAAAGTTCCTTTGTCTTTCCGCCTCGGATGGACTTTCTCAGTACATATTTCCAGTGATTCTTGGTCTCCCTGGCTGCTAGGGAGACTCGCATAGCGTGGCGTGAGGCATACCCTGATTTTAATCCATTATTATCAACATCCTTGGTTTTTTTGTTTGTGTTTTGTTTCTGCTTGTTTCTTATTTCCTCGTTATAGCATCGACGTGTACGATTTTCTGGTCTCCAAAAAGCACGTGTATATCGTTTTGGTCGGGCCTTGGATGTCCCAAGTTGGTGCGCGTCATGTTTCTTTTGGTCATTGCTGGCCATTTTGTTTGCCCTAGAGATCAGTTTTTCTGATACTGGCCCTCATGTGTTGGGTGTCTCCTTGTAGAGATGCTTGGCCAGCTTGACCCTTGGTGTCTCCTGGCACTATTCAAGTCGTACCCGTTTCGCGGACTATATGTATCCTATTTCTGCTTTTGCCTCGTTGGTTTTGCCATTTTGTCAGTCTGCTTTCCAATGGTTGAACGCACTCACGACTTGTATGTTAGCTAGTCAATTTCAATATATTTGTTCGAATGATTTGTTACTATGTTATATGGAATGCAACAGCGTAGTACATAGAAAGTCGTCATGTCTGTCGCCAGTTAGCTGGAGTGAAATCTGATTGACAATGTCATGCTATGAGCATAGTGGGCTCATTTAGCCACAAAGCATTCGACTCGCCTGGATCCGAGGTGATACAGCATATGCTTGCTGCAGGATTTTGCCATTACTGTCTCGACATCCGACGTTTATGTACAAACACAACCTTTGACAAACCCTAGGACACTAGCTATGTTGTCATTGTGTTAGGAGGAATTGATGATGCTTCTTTGTACCTTTACCATATCACTTGTTCTACTGGAGATAGCATGATGTCTTCGCCACCCGCACGTCATACCCACCTCCTCCGCCCGAATGCAGAAGAACTACTCCCTTGTGCCTTGTGAGAGATTCTCTTCTCTTCACAGGTATCATCTGGGAAAAATCCACTGGGATCTCACTCATTGCCACACCACGCAATCACATTTTGAATACCCCGCATCGAAGAGGTATAAAAACACAAGCAGATGAGCTGTGAACATCATATCACAGATTCTCAATATCTTTTAATCTCTTTCTATAATACCTGAAGCAAGCTCCAAACAAGTAGCTAGCAAGCATCATACCTCCCAATCTCGACCTTACACTATCTGCCCACATCACTCAGAATGGCATCAAACAATCACAATGATAGCCACGGCCAAATTCCGAATACCGGCAAAGAACCCAACATCATTCTCCCCTTTGCCCAGAATTCTAATACTTCGAAGGATACGACTGGGTCATCGGGTCTCAATCGAGGAGACACATCTCTGGAGAAGTCATGGAAGCCGAATTTTGATCGCCAACATAGCTGGAGTAACGAGGACCGCAAGCACCAGTTGCAAGGGCGTCAGAATGGGTCGGAAAAGGGCAGGGAGATGGGGTTCACAGAAGCACATAGTGGGGATTAGAATGAGTTGAAACAGCACTTAGTGTTGCGATGATCATCCTTTGATGCAGGGTTATAGCACATGGTGGGACTTGGGAAGTGGGGGCAATGAATGATGGATTTTTAAATTGAGAACATTTGAATGATGAAAGGGGGTTGGAACTAAAATTGGAATTGAACTTGAAATTAAAAGGACGACAGCAAGAAAGGGTTATCAATAGATGGAAGTAACTGAGTTGAAGTACAAGAAGTTATCGCACAAGTGTGTGGATAAATGGATAAGCAAATAAAAGTCCGCCTTCACCTCCGCTCCGCCTTGGACCTTTGGACCTTTGGACCTTCAACCTGCTCTCATAGCTTCTCTCCACTTCAAAGCTTTGAGCTTTGCCCCGTTCTCTTATCTGTTCTTTTCCCCCAATGTGGCATTCACGTCACTTATGCGCTTTCCTCTCGGACATTCAGAAAGGACCCCACGATTGAGCCTGTGACACAGCCATGGATCGCCAACGTAAAAGTACGGTCTACTGCACCTCACCTTGGAGATATTGACTGACGTTTGACTTTTTTTATTGCAGGGGAGCTTCGCGACCTAAACGAGCGAGCCTGGGCAGGCGAGTCTGGTAAAATCCCATCTGCCTCCCTTTATGACGAAATGTCATTGCAGCCCACCTTCGAGGTGATTCTAACGACTTGCAACCAGATGTATTCTCCACTAGCAAGTCCCTTGACTCGGCGCTCAAAAAGAACACTGCCTTCATCAAACGTCTACGCACCGGCATTAGTGCCTCCGCCCTTTCCACTTTCCTCGCTGATATCCGCACCCTCTCGCTCCACAAGTACCTTTCCGAGATCATTTCCGCCTGCTACGAAGGCCTCTGCAAGCTAAAATCCCCCGGAGAAATTGCCGCTGGAGTGGAGGTTGTTAGTGCGCTGCATCAGCGTTTCGGGCCTTGGGAGTTTACACGGCAGATCGGCTGGCTGCTCGGCCGGGGACTGAGTACACCGGATAAAGCGCAGCTCAAGGCGCTCAGCCAGGAGATCCGTGAACGCGAAGAGAAAGACCGTTTGTCTCGGCACCGTGTCCTTCTCCGCGTTGTTACAGAGCTTTGGTTGGTCAATGTGCTGAAGACTCTCGACGACGTCGAGCGACCTGAGGAATTGGGTGCGAAAGGCAAAGAGGGCGCAGTTGGAATTGGGAACAAACCATCCGATGCGCCGCTGAAAGCCAAGACTCCCGCAGCGGGCACGAAGGACCAGGATAAACAGGCTGACCCCTTCCCATTGGAGGTTCTGAAGGAATTGCTCGGTCATGACCGTGATCATACGAACCTGCCTCTTGCTGTCTTGTTTGTGAAGAGTTTCAGCTGGGATATCGTCGGCTCGAAGCTCGCCGAAGATGGCAGGAAAACAGTCGAGGCAGATGGCGCTACTACGACTTCTGGCGCAGATGCGCAGACTACGGAGACCAATGGAGATGCCCAATCGGAGACCGATTTACCCCTGACCCCGGAGAAGACTCAGCAGCGGTTTAGAAATATTTTGAACCGGTACCTTGAGGATGTCAAGGCTCACGTGGTTCGAGATCAGAGAGCGCTGGCACAGCAAAACCGTCGAAATGCCGAAGCATACGTGAAGAGCGGCGAGATCTTTGAGGACCGCCAGGCTAATTTCGAGAAGCAGTCCAAGGTCCTCGAGAAGCTGGTGGCCAATACCCAGGTGTTGTGTGAGGCTTTGGGAACCGACATGCCTGATCTAGCCGAGAAGGAACCCACCGATCCTTCTGCTAGTGGTGGTATTGGCCTTGTGAAGACCACCGATTACCTACGAGGCCAAGGCGAAGGTGCTGGGATTTGGGAAGACGAGGAGGAAAGGCGCTTCTACGAGAATCTGGTCGATCTGAAGGGCAAAGTGCCTGCGGTCTTGCTTGAGGATGGCAAAAAGAAGAAGAGCGAAGGTGAGGAGTCGGGTAAAAAGAAGCCAGATGGCGAAACTGCCGATTCTGAAACTTTAGATGAGAAGTCTGCTGCGGAGGCCGATGACCAGTCAACTGCCATTGCCAGCAAGACCGTGGGTGCCCAGGTGGACTCCCTTCTTGCCAAGCTCCCTGAGTTGCAAACCAAAGATCAAGTCGACCAGTTTGCTCTCGATTTCTGCTGGGTCAACTCTAAAGCATCACGAAACAGGCTAGTCAAAGCCGTATCGGACATCCCCAAGGGTCGCATTGATCTTTTGCCTCTGTATTCTCGCTTGGTGGCAACGCTTGGACAGTACCTGCCAGATATTCCACAGGGACTGACCACATACCTGGACGAAGAGTTCCGAAGTCTGCAGCGGCGCAAGTCCAAGGAATTCCTCGGCCAAGTACGCATGAGCAATGTTCGCTATCTAGCTGAGTTGACCAAGTTTGGTGTCGTTCCGGAGCATATCATTTTCCATTGCTTCAAGGTTTCTCTTGACGAATTTTCGCGCATGAACATTGAAATTATCGGTCATTTGCTAGAGAACTGCGGCCGTTACCTTCTGCGCAACCCTGAGTCATCACCCCGGATGGCTTCTTTCCTCGAGACCCTGAGTCGCAAGAAGACCGTGCAACATCTGGCCCAGCAGGAGCGGATGGTTATCGAAAATGCCATCTACTATGTTGACCCACCACCACGCCCGGCTATTCAACAGAAGGAACGTACGCCCATGGAGCAGTACATCCGCCGGCTAATCTACCTGGATATGAACAAGCGGAATTACACCAAGATCTTGAAATCCATCCGCAAACTTCACTGGGAAGAGCAAGAGGTCGTCGAGATTCTGGAACGTGTGTTTAGCAAACCGGTCAAGGTGAAATATGGCAGCATTCACCTTTTGGCAATTCTTGTCAGTGCTTTGTACCGGTACCATCAGGATTTCGTGATCGGCATCGTCGACAACGTCCTGGAGCAAGTCACGCTTGGCCTCGAGCAGAACGACTTCAAGTTTAACCAGAAGCGTATTGCGGAAATCAAATATCTAGGTGAGCTCTACAACTACAAGATGATCGATTCCCCCGTGATCTTCGATACGTTGTATCGCATTATCACCTTTGGCCATGAAGGTGGTACACCGGCCCCTGGAAAAATCAGTATGCTGGACTTGCCAGACGATTACTTCCGCTTGCGGTTGGCGTGCACTCTTCTTGATACGTGTGGCCACTGCTTCGACCGCGGCTCTGCCAAGAAGAAACTGGATTTCTTCCTTGCGTTCTTCCAGTACTACTTATTTACCAAGGATCCGTTGCCCATGGACGTCGACTTCCTTGTTCAGGATACGTATCACTCTATTCGCCCGCAGTGGAAGCTTGCCACAGATGGTGAAGAAGCGACTCGGATTTTCAGCGAAGCTGTTGCCCTGAACTACAACGTGCCGGACTCCGAGAGACCGGTTGAAGCTGACGAAGAAGATGCGGAGAGCAGCTCTTCTGATGAGGACCTTGAGGAGGATGCTATTCCCGAAATAGACGAAGACCAGGAATCTAGCGATGAGGCCGAAGTAGGTCCCCCATCTTGTCTGCATGAAGTACGACCCATTAACCCGTTTAACCCGTCGAAGGCGTCTGGACCCAATCCGGAGGCAAATGACGACAGCGATAGCGAGTCTGAGGACGAACAAATTGTTGTCACTAGACAGGAAGAGGAGCGAGACCCAGTAACCGAGGCTGAATTTGATCGAGAATTCGAAAAGATGATGGCCGATAGCATGGACTCGAGACGGTTCGAACGCAAGACTGTCTTTGATATTCCTCTTCCCATGAAACGTCTTCGCGAAAACATGCCCAACGATTCCAGCCCTGAGCCAGTCCCAGTGGAGCCAGTTGCGCCTAAGACAATGGCCTTTTCCCTGATGACGAAGAAGGGAAACAAGCAACAGGTAAGACTTTTCATCCACATCCGAAGTATTATCCACACTGCTAATCATATTTAGACCCGCACCATCGATCTCCCATCTGACTCAACCTTTGCTATTGCCATGCGGAGCCAGCAACAAGCCGATCGGGAAGAACAGCAGCGCATCAAGAATCTGGTCCTGAACTACGAGGCGTCGACAGAACCCGAAACCACCGAGAGTGAGCAATATCCCCTGGTTAGCCGGAAGAACTTCCAACTGAGATATCCTGAAGCAGCAACCCAAGAAAAGCGCACCCCTACTGGCCAGCGAATGGACAAAGCCGGCGCGAACCGGTCCGCCTTCCGTTCCCGTAAACTCCAGCTCAGCGACGTCAATTGGTAATGAATGCTGCTACTATCTGGACAGAGGTCCATATTCCATATCCTCACTTGACACAGCAGCCAGCGCCTTTCCCGGAAGGTTGCCATCCCACCATGGAACAATTCTTCCCTCTCTGCACTGCCTAGTGTGAAAAACTCTTGGTTCAACCCAATGAGCCTATCTATGGTATACGTCGCACACAACGCGAGTATGCAATGCCGTATGAGTATGACCAGGAATCCGTTCTTGCTAATGGAATCTACCCCGTCGCGAATGCCATCGAAATGGATGCACTCCTGTTGCTGTTCGGGATTCTTCTTTTATCACTTTCCCTTCCTGAACTGGACAGAGAGATTGAGGTTCCTCATTCCCGCATACAGAATCCCGAATCCCGGTATGGTCGCCAATCATCAATTATCATGGCTCAAGATATCAGACAAAACCGTTGTGCCGCCCTCTTGTGAAGATCGTATGCTATTCGATCTAGGGGTGATGGGTCAAATGGTTCAGAGAATTAGAGAATCAATCAGACTGGATGGATACAAAAATATGAATTTTATGCCGTGGATGTACCTCTGAGACATAATCTCTATTGTTTAGCAGTAGTAATTATTGTAACGGATTCTTTTGTACCAAGTAAATGAGACACAACTATAGGATGGTTTGCACGAAGTAAAGGTGGGGGGTTCCCAATGGCCCAGGATCGTCTCGCACTAACATCCACTACAATATGATTGATAACTGTCGATGATCTCGGTATCTTCTCTCTCCTTTTTCTCTCTCTCTCGAAAGAGTGCTCTCCCCATTAACTGCCAAATACTATCACGTCCCCCCTCATATTATGAGCGCACAAGAAACCCGGGTGGCCATCGTCGTTGGGGCCACTGTCAGTAAAAGGAAACCGACTACACGTGGTCTATTATCAGTCACTAACAAGAAATATTATAGTCTGGCATGGGTATTGACCTCGCCAAGAACCTCAGCGCAAAAGGATGGAAGATCGCATGTGTAGGTCGGCGCTACGAGGCTGGTGAAGCCCTCCTGAAAGATCTGCCGCGGGATAGAGCGCGCTTCTTTGCCGCAGACGTCTCCAACTACGAAGAGTACGCAAGTGTATTCAGCAAAGCGCATCAGCTTTGGGGTCGTATTGATGCGTTATGTGCCAATGCCGGTATTGTCGATATGTCCTCCATCTACATCTACGACTCGAAGAACAACAGCGTCGACAACATCCCCCCAGCGCCAGATCTGTCCGTCGTGGACATCAACTACAAGGGTATTGTGTATGGTACCCAATTGGCAATCCATTTTATGCGCCATAACCCGCAGCCTGGTGGTCGCATCGTCGTCACTGGTAGCATTGGCGCTATCTTCCCCCACGAGTCCTATCCAGTATACTGTGGCTCCAAGGCTGCAGTGAACCATTTCATACGGGGCGTTGCTCCGTTACTGAAGCAAAAGGAGAATATTTTCATTAATTGTGTAATGCCGGGGATTGTGAGCACGCCCATTGTGCCACCCGAGATGATTACCGCTGTCACTCCTGAATGGTAAGATTTTGGCGTCGCCTTCGAGAATCGATTGCAGAATACTGATATAACGTTGAATTCAGTATTACCCCTGTTCAGACCATTCTCAAAGGCTATGAAACCTTTTTAGAAGACTCGACAAGCATGGCGGGTGAACTATTAGAGTGCTCTGCCGACAAGCTGATCTACTACCAGATGCCCAAACCTGGAAATGGCCACATCACAAAGCGGGCTGTCACAGTATGGGAGCCACTATTCCGCATCATGCACGGCGAAGACTCTAACCTGCCGGACGCCATTCTGTGAGCGTATCGGGGGAGTCAACTTCAATCCGAGACTACCATTGCCTTAACTGGCTAGCGTCTTGAAAAAAAGTACAGATAGGCTCCACCGCCAGCACGGTCTGCGATGATCTTTACTCTCGAGACCATACCCCTGCGTGTCAAATAATCTCAAGCGAGCCAATAATCATGGCTTTGTTTCGGTTCTCTGATTCGTCTTGTTCACGTAAAGAGGATCCTTCTCTTTTGCGTGGGTCTCCAATGGCATAAATTGTGATCTATCATGCGTCATATTAACCGTATGTTTTAAGGCTCTTACGATTTTATAGGTACCAGTTAAACTATTCATTAGGGAAAACATTCATTCGATATATGATACATAAAATGATATAGTTATTTACCTCCCTCCTACTTGTAGGTTACTAAGACCGGATTTCATTGCCAAAGGTACATTTCCCATTATGACCAGAAAAAAAAAGCTACAAGAACCCTTCTTTTCCCCTCTGTTTTCATCTTGCTGCGATGTGATTTAAGAGGCATAAAATGAAGCGTGACGTCAAACGGCCTATAGGCGCCAATATGCTTAGGGTCTAACGGGATGTGAATCTTCCGAGGTAATAGTTGTCGGAGTGCGGAAGCAGCCAGAGTCCGCTTAGCTGAAAAATGGAGCCTACGAGGGCTTGGTTCGCAATATCTCTCACTTGCGGTATGTAGTGTGGCCAAAAAAGCAGAGTTCTTATTACAACTTTTGTTCCTCCACACCCAACTCTCGACATACATTCGATAGCTTCTCTTCCTCCCAAGATACAGGACTGTCTGGCAATACATATTCAGAAATCTGAGTCCCAGCATTCTGCACCACCTGCTCAATCCCGCGGCCGTTGGTGAAAGACCAGACTCTCACGTATCGACTAGCAAAGTCCAACACAAAGGCGTCACCAGCCGTGATCACTAGCGTTTGGCCCTCCCGGACTTCACTCCACGAATCGCCGCTTGACCTAAGTTTGACACGCAGAAGACCTTCTTGAACACAAAAGCAGTGGTCCACCGTGGGGAAGCTCAGCCAGCGACCCAGGGGTGTTGACTTGTATATCTTGGATGATTCAATACTGGTGATGGAGAACTTGCCGCTGCACTGCGATGAAAGAATGAAGGGTCGCGACATAACACCACCCAAAATCCACCGCGGTCCTGTATTTGCGCGAAGGAAGTACGGCTCTCCCGGGGCTGGCAATGTGTTCTCCGTACCCAGCCAGTCTTCAACCTCTGGTGGCTGGTAATCGCGCTTAAAATGGACGTCGAAGCGATCCTTGGCCACCATCATCTTCTCTCCTAGCATAGCGCCAAGATTGCGATTATCGTTCTCAGGAACGACGATACCCTCATACGTCTCGCCGACGTATCTAAAGAAGTCGATCCAGTCACCTGGCGCCACCAAGCCCATAGTCTCGGTATGTGGCCCAAGTAAAACAGGATTATGTATAACCCTCTGCTATTTGTAAGCTGTCTGGGCTTTTCTGACCCCTAGAGAATACTCACCGGAGGAACGTAGGCAAAGTCGCCAGGGCCCATAATTCTGCATTTGTCGCCATTCCACAACTTTAAAAACCCTTTGGTCACAAGGAAGACATCATGCGCCTCCTCATGCCAGTGGAAGCCCGGGGCATCGGATAGGACTGCACCACTGGAGAAGACGGCAATTCCACCGTTGGTTTGTTTAGATGATGCCAATATTCTGAACGCGCCTTTGCTTCCAGGGATGCTAATGCGCTCCCCCTCTAACTGATCAATGATGTAACTCGTTCTCCCTTCTGGGGGAATGGAATGAACGGGGACGCTCATTTTGCAGGGATATGTTGATATTGGCAACGTGAAGAATTTTGGCTTTAGTTCGATTCAAGATCGTTCCGAAACTCGTATAACCTTCTATAGGTGCAGCGCTGCCCCTTTATGCATATCATCTGCCGAAAAATCATCTGGTCCCCATAAAGTACACGCGGGGTCGAGTCTGTCGGAAAAGCCGAACCATTGCCACCCCGGACCGGAATTTCCGATTTCTCGGTCAAAAGGGCTTAGCCGGAACCTTCAGGGCCAAAGGATAGCAGGGAAGGAAATAAACGAACAGCTCGCCCTCTCGTCTCTCATGACAAGATTTTGCTACGGTCTAGTGCCAAGTTAAGTTTCACCATGGACAGTCCAGCATGTTTTCAGGCCATCTACAAACATGTAGGTCAACAGAAGATTGATGTAGATGTGTATCTGCCTTCGTCCCAAAATTCCAAAAGACCTGTTTGTACGTCAGCACCCTCTCAAATCAATGGCCATTATAGGCTGGCGTATGTACAATTAGGCATACTAACTGACACCAATCAGTGATCAATATTCATGGCGGCGCGTTCATGCTCGGCTCGTCAAAGATGGTCAATAGGGACCAAGTACAAGATTGCCTCAACCGAGGATGGATTGTTCTAGCCCCCAACCATCGCCTTTGTCCGCAAGTCAATATTTTAGAGGGACCTATTCAGGATTGTCGCGACCTCTTGGCTTGGGTTTATGATGGTGGACTGGAAAGGGAAATCAACGAGACCGCCCAGTCGACTGTCATCCCAGATATAGATCGCGTCTTTGCTTTTGGCACGTCCTCGGGCGGCACTCTAGCCCTTTGCTTGGTGAGTTACCAAATTTGGAAAAAGCAGAAATATCTCGCCATAAACCATTCATCGCTAACAATATCTGTTTTTGAAGGGATTCGGAGTCCCTCGGCCGGTAGCTGGTATATATGACATGTACGGGCCGTGTAACTTCTCAGACGGCTTTTGGACAACGAAGCTACCTCATCTCGAGCTTCCTGCAGGACTATCAGAGTCCTTGATGAACAAAGTATTTGAAGAATATCCGGTCCCTATTACAGGAGGTGTGTCTCTTGAAGGTCAGGCCACTGGTCCTCCCGACTTTAGTGACCCACGACAAGCATACGCCTTGACGCGACTTGCCAATGGTACGCTTTTAGATGCTATCTTCCCGTCGAAGGATTGGGATGTGGCCGATCCTGCTCGGAATATCAGCTCCTATTTCCCACCAACTTTCATCGCGCATGGGACAGCAGATTCGAAAGTACCCATTGGTTTAAGTAGAGAGTTGTTCCGGATATTGAAGGACCATGGTGTCCACTGTGATATGAGAGAGATTCCGGAGGAAGACCACACATTTGCTGCTAAGATGCAGGTTGGATCTCGAACGTGGGAGCTCCAGCGTCTTGGCTTTGACTTTTTAGAATCGCTGATTTAAATATGCTACAATATACGCGAGACTTAGAAACAAAGTTCGATTAGCAGTGCTTTCATGTTATAATTCCCAGTCTGCGCATATTCATGGTTTGTGCCTCACTCTTCATTTTTACCGCAAATGTTGGATGAGAGGAGCCAAAAAGCAACAGAATACAGTATATACACTCATACACTCATACACTCATAGAAGCATCATGGAAATTTCAATACAACAGAATAAGGTATTAATCCGTACATCATGAATCCAACATGAATGGATCCTTCAGAACGGCATTTTCTACTGCCTTAAAAGCATCGTAGCCATAGAGCCACGGCTGAACTTGGGGACAAGTCCATTTGCTAGGGAAGGGCCCTTGAATATTCGATTCGCCGAGCTGCGATAGGAATATTTCGTCTCGTGCTTCCTGCTCTGGGCCGTCTGCCATGTGAAAAGAGTCTCGCTGTTATACAACTGGTCAGTGAACGTGTCTTTATAGTTATGGATCAAGTCTCAGCGTCCGCAGCTAATAATTACCTGCTTAAAAGTTTCCTTGACGATAGCATCACCCCGGGCTTTGCGCAAGTCTTCGTACATCTTCAAAGCTTTGGGTAATTGGTCTTTCGATCTCAAATGACCCAAGATCAGGCCTAAAACAGCACCATCCTCAACAGCTGAGTTAGCGCCCTGGGCTAGATATGGTAGCATTGGGTGACAAGAATCGCCACTATAGAGGCCAATGAGAGTATGAGTTAGAAAAATTGCATATTAGGGGCTGGGAGTAGGCAGAATTGGTCTTACACAAAAACAAAGTTTGACTTCTCGTTGACCCAGGAAGGAAGTTCCTCCCCTAACACAAGCACGACATGTTAGCCTCCAACTCATCACAGTATCGAGAAAGGTGAAAACAGACTATGCATCAACTTCCACTTGTCAACCCGGTCGACGACACTCAGAAATTTCCCAAGGAGGGGGTCCCAATCCTTGAAAAGTGCCTGCATTTCTTCGACTGAGCCAGAATGTCGACTGACTCCGGGAGGAAGATCATCGGGGACGAGTAAGACGATATTGTACATCGTACCACTGCGCAAAGAATAGCCCACAGCATGTGCCCCAGGTCCTATCCAAAAGTGCACAGTCGGGTTGTTGACCCAAGATTTAAGCTCAGGGTCATCGAGCTGATGTAAGTCTAGGACGACTCGATAGGCCAGATCCCCAGTTGGTCGAGGCATATCGTCAGTCCCAAGGAAATTTGAGCGGCACCGTGACCATAATCCATCTGCTGCAACTACGAGATCCCCCCTTACTATGAGGTCAGACTCAGTTGTCACGCTGGGCAAGTGGAAGTCAACACTAATGATCTTCTCTCCAAGCTTGAACTCAACGCCTAGCTCCTTGGCTTTCTCGTATAGCGAGAGTTGCAGGTCAACACGGTGTAAATCGATGAATGGAGCACCATACTGGCTACGGATCTTCTTATCGAAGTTATCCTCTCTAGCAAGCACCTTACCGGAGTAGCGGTGCACGACCAGAGCGTTAGGTTCGGCGGCACTGAGCCATAGTCTGTCAGGGAGCCCCCACCTCTGGAGGATACGAGTGCAATTCGGTGTCACTTGCAACCCTGCGCCAACCTTTGGAATGGTTGGAGGTAAGTTCTTATAGGTTAATCGACGGGGATAGATAACTTACCTCGAGGAGTTCTTTGGCTGACTCAATTACTGTCACCCGGTGACCAGAGAGGGAAATTGACACCGCTGCAGCGAGACCTGCAAGGCCTGCTCCGACAACAATGACATCTAATTGAATGGTGGATTTCTTCTGAAACTCTGCAGAGTGAAGCTATCAGAGAGAAGTCAGTCAGAATGGAAGATCTCCTCGACTCAATTGCTAAAGTAGCTGCATACTAACCATTATTACGAGGGGCCGCAGAACAACGATGTTGAGAACCAGAATAGAAGATTCAACACTTGGGAAACTATCCCTCTACCACAGAGAGAGAGATATATATATATATATATCGTGGACTATAATGTTCTTCCCAAAGAACCCTGTTTTAGCTAGCAGGGCAGCCGGAAAATCCGACATGCAGGCGCGTGGATGTTCTACATCTTTCCCCCGGATTTTCCGGCGTTGAGCCCTCGAGGACTTTCTGCACGCAGCTTGGCGAGATGGAAGCGTGAATCATCTGAAGCTTTGTATTCCATGTAAGAAATATTCTATCTATCTAAAGAAGTGATGTAGCCGACCACAATTTGTTGGCCTAGTTACGGATTTTCAGAAAAGATATCCAACTACCCCTCACGGCAGTCTAGGGGTGATTCAAAACTTAAAACTAGAGTCGCCGGGCTGTCTATGAAGTCCAAAAAAAAAAGGCCTTGGACCTTCAGGGCCTGAGCCTAGAGCTTGCCAATACTGTTGCCAACCAGAATGCAGGTGAGGTTAAGGTATGGACGAAAAGTAGAAATCAGATACATATTTTAAGGTTCATACGGAGTGAGGTCGACAAATGTCTCGTACAACCATGACGTTCCCCGCACTATAGCATCATCCGGGGTACGAAGCGGGGGGGATATTGGTGCCTTAATGCCTGGGTTACCACCGCTTTATACACCGCTCTATACAGTGTACTGTAAATTGTTAATACATCAACCTGCCTAAATGAAGCTTTTGTACACCATACAAATCAATCCATCTCCATACTTCTGGGTGGTTGCAAGTCCAAAAATATGGAGATGCCTGATTTGTATGATGTATAAAAGCTTCATATATTTTGCCTAACAACGCTGGGAGAAGCCAGGTACTTTGATTACTAAGGAAATGTGTAATGGTAATTCAGGTATTCATATTTTTCTGCCGTTCTAACATGAGGCATTAAGGTCAAGGTCCTCTGAAACAGGGTTTTGACGCCTGACCCCTATACCGCTTCGTATCCCGGGGTACACCGGTTGCAACCCTCAATTCGCCCATGCAGCTTGGAAATTCTGTTGGCACGGAATTTATTGAACTTTCTGCCTTGCAAGCTGCATAGGATTTATCGTATTGGCTGTCTGTTGCAGTTAACTCTCACATATTGCACAAATCGTATCAGAATGGAGGGTCCGAACAATCAACATTCGGCGAGGAATTCAGGCCAACGCGTTCGGCGGCCTCGGGCAGCTCGTGCCTGTGATTACTGTAGGCAGAAAAAGTACAAATGCGATGAATTGTACCCCTGCTCCTACTGCAAAGGTTGGTCTTTATCATGCTATTCAGCATTGGCCCCCGAAGTAGCCCCAGGCCGTTAACTGACAGGCGTGCAAGCTCGAGGTGTCGAATGTGTGTACAAGGGTCAGAATATGTCCAGGCTTCGGGTCACGCCAGAGTATGTTCTCACCAACCTTGAGGTCTGTTATTTAACCTAATCCCTTTCCCTAGCTACGTGAAGAAGCTTGAGACTCAGGTGAAGGATCTCTCTTCCCGAATTGAAGCCTACGAAGCAACGGGAGCCAAAACAGTCGAGGGTAAACCGACACGGGCAACTTCCGGGATTTCCACTCTGGACCACGGCCCTACACAGCACCCCGAGATCAACCACGATGATTATCCAATGCAAAGCAGCACATCGCCCTGGGAGAGTGGCCAACAAGAACTATCTGGTGTTAACTCACACACTCGAGATGTTGAGTTCTACGGCAGCTCATCTTCTGTGGCTCTTCTCTCTCAAATCCAGCGCACTGGGGATGAGTCTGAAGGAGGTGATGCGAGTTCCCTTCTTTCCACCTTGCACAATCCTGCTTTTGGACGAGCCAAATTTCAAACAGTTCGTGAAAGTTGCAGGGAGATCGACTACCCAGATAGTTCAAACTGGTTCCCACAATGTCGTGGGTTTTTGGAGGCCTTCTTCACCACGATCCATTATGTCCACCCCATTCTCAACAAGCAAACCTTTTTGCAGCGATGTGAGGTGTTGTGGTCTGGAAGCGAAGCCGATGGCCCGCAGCTTTCAAGTTTCACAGCTCTGTACTTTAGTGTTCTCTCTTTGGGTGCGCTTGTGGGTACGAGAGATGATGAGCCTATCGACGGCATCAATAATCTGCAATGGAGCCGCAAATTCTTCGAGAAAGCCAAAGCCTGCTGCAACCAAATAGGAATGGTAACAGACCTTGATATGACTCAATGTTACTTCATGCTTGTATGTCTCTCCATATCATTTCGTCGCTGCCGCAGCTAACAAATCACAGGCCAAGGTGTGCCAAAATGAGCTACGTCCTCACTGTCAGTGAAAGTCTTCTGTAGGTTTACCTCTTGACTTACTTACCATTGCTAGTGTCGTATATGTATGTTGGTCTTGCTATACGGACTGCTCTAGCCATGGGCATTAATCGAGAGCCTGGAACGAATGTGAAGAAATCCGCAGATTTGCGAAAGGCAGAATCAAGAACATGGTGGTAAGTCTTGGACTTAGTTCCACGCCCTGTCAACATCTAATTCATTATGGACACTAACGTTTTCTTATAAGGGGCCTATACTCTCTTGAAACGTGCGTTATCCCCCTCTTAAATGCCTCGACGCTACTTAACTGAGCTACTTCTTTAACTCTGATCGGCAGTGAAATATCCTTCGCCATGGGTAGACCAGACACCCTTGGGGCGGATACGTATCATAACCGGCGATTCCCAATAACAGACAGCAGAGAGGCCGTCGATAACAGTGGCACTTGCGAGATGCTAGAACATCCCTCTTGTTCGATCATAAAATGCATGGTAGATTTCTCGAGAATCACGAAAGATATCTGCCAAAACATTTACCTCTCAGGTGTGACAGTTCTGAGGACAGTTCATTTGGCGTACCAAATTGAGAGCAATCTCGAGCAGTGGATTGAAACGCTCCCCGAGGAGATACGTCCAACAGAGCTATCTGGCGGTTTACCTTCTTTGAGCAAAGCCAGGGATCAGCAATGGATGAAGAGACAAAGATTGGTGCTATCACTAAGTTCGTCAGCCGTCCCTGAGTCTGCCGCAGAGAAATATCTAATTGACTGGGCATAGGATATCACAACTTGAGGATACTTCTCTTCGGCTCTTTTCTTCTGAGGTCCACACCTCAGGATCGAGCATCAATTCCTGGGTCTCAAGAAGGGGTGCAAAAATGCCTGGACTCGGCCAAACAGACCATTGATCTCATTTATCAGACTTATCAACATAGCGACTTTTTCAGAACATGGTATGTGCTGACCTCAATATTTTACTATCCAATCCTGACCCAGCAATAGGTTCTATAATGTCACGTACACCGTATTTGCTGCAAGCACCATCCTTATTTACCTTGCGCAAGAAACGATTCCTACAGAAACTCAACCCCTCTTGCGGCTGATCGACATGGCTGTGGAGATTTTATTGATAATGGACGAATGTGCTTATGCTCTTGAAGCTGCAAAACTGCTACGTCGGGCCAAGGAGAAGGCTGAAGCAAGAGCTATGGCAACTGATGCAGCAGTCATGGAGCCATTATTCTCGGGAAGAGATGGAATCGGACATCTGAATCATTATTGGGGTCCGCTCAATCTTTTCGATGGGGATATTGACCCAAACCTTGCGTTTTCGTTTCTTGGCTTTGATGGAGCGAATCCGACAATATAAGCGCGAGAACACTCTATTGCTTCGTGATTGCAATCGAGTTTTTTTTTTCTCAGTCTAACAGGCAAGGGCCGCTTCCCAGAAATTGAGGGTACATGAGGTGCAAGTTGCGCGAGCTGGTGATCGTGCTAAGCGCCCGAACACACATACTGGACGTTGGTTTCTGTTTGTTGATGTTATATGTAGATTTATTATTTATATTTTATAAACAATGAGCATAAGACTTTTATTAGTGAGAAGGCCAGGGACTAGAACGTAGCAAATACCGAGTACACTGGAAACTCTCTAGATTGCGCAAGGAGAGGTAGAAACTATCTACATTAAACCGCTAACCCTCTAGGTACAAAATCAGTTACAGACAACCGCGTCGTATCCTCGTCCCAAACGAAGCCAACTTCAAGCTCTTTATCGGTCCCCAAATTCACAGAAATTCGCGAGCAAGACCTACGAGGCTTCTTTCAGTCAAACTTGGTTTGAACCTTATCACTATCTGGGTGATCTTCTTCTAGGCGTTCGCTTGGGAGAACAATGGCACGGTCGAGCTTGTAGGGCAACCCACGGTGTCGGCCTCGGATCATGATCACACAAATGACAAGCTTGCTGAAAACCGTAAACTCTCCAGATAGAGAGGTAGAAACAGTTGGATACCCAAGACTAAGTCCAACATTGCCGCTTCATCGAAATTAGTCGACGAAAAAGGAATAAATACCGCATGGATAACTCACTATGCTGAGACAACCTCGAATAACACTGAAAATACAGAAAAGGCCTGAAAGAGTTAGATTTTATTTTACTATCGCAAAACTCGAGATCAATCACTTACTGGAATTGACGTGTCTGCAATCTTACCGGCCTCGGAGACGCAGATGCAAAAGCTGCCGAAGAAAATGTACCACAAGTCAAAGGTCAGTTGGTTCTGAATATGTTTGGTAATGTAAGATCGGCTGTTATGCTCGTCTATGTTACCATTAGTGGAATATACACCCAGCGACCTTTCTTCATAAACATTGGAGGCTCTGATGCTAATAGCAATTGGGAAAATTGCAATATACATCATGACCACCAAGCTGAATTGGACGGCTGGGTTCACATCCGCCAAGTTGAAAGTCGATGTACCCGTATGACGGGCCGATGCGGCTTGGAAAATAGCAGCGAGAACTCGAGGACCAGGCGCGAGATTATTCACAGCGGGATTGTTCAAGTCCAGTACAATAATGAGAAGAACATCGATCAAGTTCATAAGGAACAAGATTCCGAAGAGAATCCACGTCGGCCTGCTTGGGAAAAGCAGCGTATAACACCGTCGCGGATGATCGAGCAGGAATCTGAGTGGATCTTTAAGCGATGATTTAGCCGGGCAAAGTTTGTAGAAAACCCAGATAATAAGTCGAAGAAGGCACGGATAACAAGTGTTGCCAGCAAATGCAAGGAAACTCATAAGGATCATTGGGAAGGTCGCATCTTGAAACGAAATCATCGAATCTGGCGTTAGAGTAAAGCCAAGATTGTTAATCATCGACTGCGCGGAGTAAAAGCCCCTATTGCGCCGTAAACGAAATAAGCCATTATATCGTTGGTTATAGTTGACGGAGCCGACTTACCACCAAACATTTCCTTGGCCACATTCTGCAAGGTAGTCACGGTATTTCGGATCCGCGTGCAGAATCCACCCCACAAGGCAGATTGCACCGAAGAAATGCAGACTAAAGAAATATCCAACGACAATTTTTAACAGGAATTTCAAGCTTCGATACTCGATACCGCCGAGTGTTTCCCGATCTTTGGCAGACAGGTTATGGAACTGAGAGTTCCGGCCTATTGTAGCTTGTGAGGATATGTTCGGCAAATCGAGCTGATTTATGTCCTTCTGTTTTGCTGTTGGCATCCCCCGGTCAGAGCTAGAAGAGCCTCCCAAAACAAACACGGAGGCTACTACTCTCTCAAGGGTGTGAGTGCGAGACGGCATGCTTCTAGTAGTCGGTAGACGACGAAGGACTTTCTCGGTTTGTCCTTTCATGAACCAAGTTAGCGAAGCGATTAACTTGAAGTTACGTTTAGGCGCCGCCTTATCAGGACATACCATCATCGTCTTCATCATGAAGCCTTTCATCAATCTCAGAAAACGAGGCACCTGTGTAGTACTCGTGAGAAACGGGGGAACATATAAGCCTGACTTTTATATACCTCTTTCGCGTCTCCACGGAGGTGGAATATATAGAGCTTGTTGAACATGCAGGCATGGATGTTTGACAGACTGAGCAGTCTTCAGATGATGTTTGGTGCTAAGGGTATTTAAACCCTTTATTTAATTAGTTCTTACAAATAACAACTCTTCTTCTTCCATCTATCTCCCCACTGTAGTGCCCCCATTACAACAGAGCTTTATCCTTATCAGAAGATGGCCGATTGTCTTGAGCGAAGGTAATAGTTTGCTTTGTTGGATTGATATTCGAAACTGCTGGATCATCCGCTTTTGCATCGCTCAATTCTAAGGGACACCTGGTGTATGAGTTAGTACCCATTACATTTGATAGCCTGTTGTGTTTATAGATGGCATCGAAACCAACCTCGAAGATTTGTCTTGGGTCTCAACACGCGCTCTTTCCTTATCCGAATCGTTTATTTCGTGGCTGCTAAGTTGAGCGTTTGGGGCTTCATCATGGTTGCTACTAAAACCTCTTTTGTGCTTTAACTGTGCCTCTGCATCTTGTTCGGGAGGAACCTCTGGCCTCAAAGGATGCGGGGCTATGTTTTGGAGAAGCAAGTTAGCTCTCGATGATGGCCTTGGGCTGATGGGTAGGGTGTGGAAGACTTCGAACCGATTGCTTTGAGGTGCTTTTTAAACCATCGAACCCGAAATACAATTACGATGATGTTGATGAATCCCAAATTTCCTAGGATCGGAATGAGGTATAGGTACACCTGTTGGTAGGTCTTCAAAGATTTGACGTCGACACTTGATACCCATAGAAAGTCAGTCTTTATTTACCGACTCATCAGAAGAGAAAAGAAATAACACTTTACTCACGTATTCAGGCCCGACTCAGTCGACGCGCTGGCCCCGAAAAAATAAGCATCGATAGCTTTCAGATTACCATGAGGATAGATGATAACCAAGCTCAGAACGCCGAGGGTGATAATCCACACGTCTGCGAAGAAGAATTAGAAGGAAATATTGTGTAAACACCAATCGACGTACAATGTAGGACGAGAAAGTCGATCGGTGGCTTCCACATGGCCCCAAAACTGGCAGGTTTGTTTTACGGGGAACTCTAAGGGGCCTGCCAAATTCTATTATATAGTCGTAGGCTTATCATATTTATAAAAAAAAATTTGCGCATACAATATAAAACAGATAGATAGAAAAATTGAGTGAGGGATTTGCTAGGCAAATCAAGTTTGGCCCCGGGTCGACGCTTGCGGCTTGGCTAACATGCTGCTGTGGTTTGCGCGCTCTTCGAGATCAAGGAGGCTGAGCATCACTTCGAAAAACTTACTCCGTTCAGATACATCAGCTGCCCGGATTGTATTTTTGAGATTTCAATGATATCATTGACTGAAGTGTCTTTCTCATGCACGGATTGTCAGGTGCGAAAACGACGAGCCTTGAAGAGTCGAATTAACCTGCCAATTTGTCTGGTCTCGCTGCTTTCACTTGTTGGTTCTGTGGCATAAAGCGACGGAGAGGTAATAGGGACGAATTAGTGCTTTATACTTCTTCGTCCGTTGTTGTTGAAACAGCTCCACGATTTCGTCCATGAACAAGTTACCTTAATATCTAACAATGATCTCGCAGGCCTAAATAGACAGTGATTGCAAGCAGCAACGAAAAACACCGCCATCCAACTTGCCCTGTTGAAATGTTATAAAATTGGTATGTTTCTCTCACCGGAAATTGTCTTTGATATCAACTTTCGCACTATTCCAGTTTTCTAATAGGGATTGATGCCTAAGGCACCAATATCTTGTCGGAGCATGACGACCGGCATACCGGGGGATTTATTAATCCTACACATTTTTGTAATTAATGTTATGTAATCATGGCTCCATATAAATTGTACCAAGAGCCGATACAGAAATACAGAGAGTTGAATACCACTGATTGGACCCCTACATTTACAATACAGACCAATCCGACAGTTATGAGCCCGGTTCGCATCGAAGAAAGCATTACTATTTGAGATATAGTATCTAGTACACTACTAGAAGCCTGCTTTCTACCCCTTGAAACCTCCTAGCTACCCCTGAATTAGCAATTGTGAAGCTATTCCCAGCTACCCCTGAATCCAGCAATGGAGGCAGTATCAATTCTCTCCGCCATGAAGGGCGAAAAACTGAAGGACTCGCCGCAGTGGCTCACTTGGTTTGCAAAAGTGCAGCTATATGCCATGCAAAAGAACGTATGGGACCTTTGCAACCCAGATCCCCCGACGACAACCGAATCCCAAGCAATAAGATCTATACCTCTCCAAGAACCGGTGGAACCGGAATACCCAGAGGACGGCGATGATAAGGATCGAAGGATTTGGCGAGATCGAATGGACGTGTATAAAATGAAGTACACGAAGTGGGAGAAGCAAGCAAAAGGACTAAGTGATGTCAACGAGTACATCCTTACCTACCTCGACCCAATGCATTACCTTGCTCTGATCATATATCGTACTCCGTATGAGAGGCTTGTATACCTAAAGACTAGATTTGCTCGGTCAACGGCGTACGAAGAAGAAATCTGTATGAATTGGAAGGTCTTTGCTATACAGAAACCAACCGGTGATATTGAGCAGTGGCTTCAAAAGTGGAATTCACTAAGAGAGCAAGCTATTAGCCTCGGTATTAGCGATACAGATTCCAATCGAGACTTCCTATATGCAGTCAAAGAGGTACTGCCAATCTAGTGGCAAGGAAAATACTAAGAGATCGTTATAGATAAGAAGAAATATGACACTCGAGATCTTCTTGAATCATTCCGTGCAATGAATCGGGAGATAGGCGTCAAAACTGTGACCTCAACCAATACTCCAAAAAGTGCTTTTTCAACCTAGCAAGGTTATCGAGAAGTAAAGCCGGAAGCGAAGTAAGAGAAGCTTCTATTCGAGAAGAGAAAATGTCTATGTGGTAATGGTCATCTACACCACAAGGTAGCCAACTACTGGCTTATGAATAAAGCTATACGCCCAGAAGGATATACCCTAGACGAAGGGAAGCTAGAGAGAGCTAGAAAGAAGCTAGTAAATGATCCAGGGTGGAAGCAATGGGTCGATAAAGCTATTAATGAAGCTAAATCAAAGCATCATGAATCTGCAAACTAAGTCAGTTTTGCCACTACCTACCAGCCACTAAGTGAAGCTATACAGATTGGCAAGCATGCACTCTCAGCTGTAAAGACTAGCGAGCTCTCTCTCCACAATCGATGGATTCTTAATACTAGGTCGAGTTCATATGTATGTAATAACAGAGTATTGTTTATTGATTTTACGCTAGAAGTTATCAATTTGACTATAGGAGATAGTACTATATAGGTGCTAGGGAGAGCTACAGTTCGACTAGTCGGCAAGTATCCACAGAAAGGAAGAATGGAGATCATATTAAGTGACGCTCTCTACTCGCCTAGCTTCTATACAAATCTAGTATCGTACGCGATACTAAAGAAGAAGGGGGGTACCTAGTGTCAACGTACAAACTGCATTCGAGATCTAAAGGATTTACCTGTAGTCAATGTGTATCTATAGGATCAATTTAACCTATAGATTTTTAACGAACCAAACGAGGCCCCACCACCATAACAAGCATATACTATACAGAGATCCTTAGTAAAGCCGTAGGAATCAAAGGTATCGGCTGACATCTAGTATCGGCGACTTGCTTATATTGAGCCCCGCGCCGTAGCTAAGCTTGCTACTATAGTAGACGGTATAGTCCTCCAGAAAGTAGAGAAAGAAGAAGCTTCATTATGCTATATATATCGTATTGGGAGAGTACTAAAGCAGATCTCTCGCCGGCTAGTGGGACGTACTTTTGGACTATTTGGAAGAATCTACTTTAATCTAATACAACTGCCGCTAGCATACAATCGATATCGATAGATATCTCACTTCTATATAGAAGGGCCGAGATTCCACTGGATTATGATATATAAGCTAAAGCCTGAATGCCAGATAGCGATCAACTAGTTTGTATAGCTAGTAAGGAATCAGTAGAACCTTCCGATCAAGGCATTTCACTATGACAATGAAGCCGTAGTAGGAAAAACAGCGGAGTACAGCTTAATAAGCGATAGTATCTTAATATATTATACTCTACCCGGCTACTTAGAGATAAATAGGTATGCCGAGAGATCTGGCGGGATGATTATTACCCGTATACGTATACTCTCTCTTAAAGATAAGCTTCCGAAAGATCTATAGCCTGAATTCGTAAGCGCTGCAGTGTGGTTATTGAATCGTACCCCTATATATATTGCTTCTGAGAACAAGTGGTTAATACTATGGGAAGAAGTAAGAAGAGAATTTGCTCTAATAGCCCCAAAGATCAATCTAGTAAATATTAGATTATATAGAAGCTTAGCGTACTGTTGTATTGAGAAGTAGATTCAGTCAGATAAGATGAATCTAAGAGCAGAGGTCGGCTTCCTAGTCGGATACTTAGTATCTAATATCTATAAAATCTGGTTTCTATATAGTAGGAAAGTGAGGTATATACGAGATACAGTTATTAATAAAGCATATAAATACTCGCCGGACTATAAGAAATCTCAGCCTATTCCACTACTATTAGTGAGAGAGCCAGAAGAGATTACGCCCGACGAAGTAGCACAAATTATTAACCATCAGATCGCTAGTTAGGAAGCAACTAGTACGCCGGAAAGTGAGCATCAAAACCGATAAGATGAAACCGACGATACTCTACCAGATGCTCTACCAGATACTCTTCCCGATGCTCTTCTAGATACTCTACTAGATGCTCTACTAGATGCTCTACTAGATGCTCTACTAGATACTCTACTAGGTGCTCTACCAGATACTCTACTAGATACTTTATAAGATATTCAGCTAAGTGAGGTTGACTACCGAGAGATCACCCTACTTTAGGGGGTGA